AAAATTTGTAGGATTTCACTTTATTTGGAAAATATTCTCTTTTCACAGTAGAATTAGGGTAGACTTTAATAGAAAAATACATTTTTTACTATTTTCAAATTAAGACATGAGAACAGCCAGTATGAGTGTGGAAAAATAACTGACCTATATGGGAAAGGAGTCAGAAAACTTTGCCTTTCATAGAAAGTGTTTGTTCGTGCAGAAATTTTAAAGCATAACAACAACATTGTTTTATCCTTAAGCAATTATCTATGTGCTTATACAAGAACTAGTAACTATTAAACCACATCCACAGTGTTCATCAGCCCTCCCTTTCCATCTTCTTGTAACAGGTTTTTCTTGCAAGTCTGCACTCAAAGTCTGGAAGTCTGATATTTCTGCCAACAGAGTTAGTGAGTTATAAGAGATAAACACAAAAATGAGAATATTTTAATTATAAAAATCATAACCACGGGAACTGGAGAGGTAGTACAGGGCGTTAGGTGTTTTCTTTGTACGCGTTTGACCCAGATTTGATCCTCGACACTACATATTATCCTCTGAACACTGCCAGGACTGATCCCTGAGGACTACCAGGTGTGGCCCAAACTCAGTCCACCCCACCAAATCATACTGTTGACACTTTGACATTTTACATTTGCCATGACAATATACAGAATGACAAAATATGATTGGAGTCTGGGTGGTGTTTTGAGTCTGAGGTTGCTTTGACAACCTCCAAAACCTCTCTCTTCTCTCAAATTCTATGCATATTCCAACACCTAATTAGAACACTTTTGTGCCTATATTTTGACCCACTAATAGAATACTTTTGCTTTCAGTAGTCATCCTGTCTTACTTTTCAACAGTGTTGCTCTCTCTAGAGTATCTTTCTTAGAAAAAATATTATTCTCTTTTGGTTATGCTTACACTCTGATTCTCTTTAGTGTATACTTTTATTTAAAAAACTTCCTTTATTGCTTTATTTCTGGTAATAGAAATTAAGCAATCACTGGAATGGAAATTCAATTAGCTATTGAGGAAATCGAAATGGTAAACATAAGTCTACCCCAAAACAAAAGCCTAGGTCCAGGTGGATTCACCAGTAAGTTTTTTCAAACCTTTTAAGAGACCTACTGCCAATCATTTTCAGACTTTTTCAGGAATTTGAAGAAACAGACACTCCCAGTTTCTATGAAACAAGCCTTAATACCAAAATTAGACAGACAATAGCACAAAAAAGAATTATAGAGTTGAGAGGGACAGAATGATCTCTCTCATACATGAGATATAAATAAAATTAGTAAGGGAATAAGAAAGTCCTAATGCCAATAGAAAAAAAAGAGCAGAACTGTTCTTCAGTAGGAAGCTTGCCACTGGATTTAGAGTTGGCAGTGGAGAGAATAAATTAAGGAAGGGAAAACTGGAACAATGGTGGAAGGGCATACTGCCCACTCTAAAGGCAGGCTGGGGAATGGGAGAGAAAATAGGAACATTGGTGGAGGAATGTAGACACTGGTGAACTGATTGGTGTTGGAACATTGCATGCCTGAAACTAAATGAATAATGTTGTGACTTTGTAAATCATGGTGATTAAAAATAAAATATTATTTTTAAAAAATGAATTTTCCAAAGTTGAAGACTCTAGGAACTTAGATCCAAGAGACTAGAAGAGTCCCAGAAAAACAGATCCAAATAGGAGTTGAAGAAACAGTGTGGCAGGGAGGGCACTCACCTTTTATGTAGCTGACTCAGGTTCAATCCTTGGCATTCCACATAGTCCACTGAGCCTATCAGAATGATTCCTGAGTGCAGAGTTAGAAGTAATCCCTGAGTACTGCGAGGTGTGACCAATAAAACAAAACAAAGATAACCCAAATAAAAAACTCTCCAAGACACATTATAATCAGGATGACAAAAGCTAAAGAAGCAAGGTGAAAAAAGAAAGCCCATGAAAGCCCCAGCAGATCTATCAAATGAGGCTCTATGAATCAGAAGAGAATGGTGGGACGTAAATGGAAAAAAAAATCACTGAAACGAACACCTCATCAAGAATACTCTATGCAGCGAGATTAGCATTCTGATTTGAAGGAGTGATACAGAGCTTCATAAAAGGTCGACGCATTAGGGAATTTTTAGCCTTGAAACCAGTTTCGCAAGAAGCATTAAAGAAGCTTCTTGAAAAATAAGACCAGCTTCTCAGCACTTTGCTATGGAGTATGGCATTTACTCATGATCTCATAATTGTCCTCTGCAAGATAAAAATGTATGTTTATTGTCAGATTGCTAATGGATTTTACTTTTTCAATAATAAATTATGTTTCATTTATAGTGGGAAAAAATAAGGTAACATTGTACACAAGTATGGAAAACTATTGTTTGCCCATCATCCAACTTGGTGAAAGAACTCAAAGACATACTTGATTAAACAATAGCTCTCTTTTTAAATTGGAGATCTTCGCAAATCTTATGACCAGAATATAAAGCTATATTTGTAATGCAATTGTGAAAAATATCTAATATTACCTAAGACTGCATTAACAAAGTAGTATTGTTTGTAGAAAGGTAGGCCCTTGTTTTGCTGGTCAGACAACTTCTGGAATGTTGTTTGAATATAATATTTTAAGAGGAATTCTAATCTACTAGTGTATTTCAGGAAAATGATATTTTTTTCATAAGAAGGAAGAACAAATTTACGTCCATGCTCTGTGAGAAACCATTAATCTTAAACTTGATGAATACTTTCTTGACTGGGAAGAGACAAATAGCAAAAACATGTCACATGACAGAACATACATTCTTTTTATACTTATTCTTGTTATAAAAGAAAGAACCAATGAGATGGTGTTTTGGTGCATTTTACCATAAGGAAAAATGTCTACCAAAATTTTCTCTAAAATCGTATTTTGCAAAACAGTTATCTTGTTAAAATTAAACAAAGCATCTACTGTCTTGATTGCAGAATTTCTCAGACTCATAATATAAGCAAAATATATTAAATATGAAATATAAAAAGGATATAGCATTCCTATTTTTAAAAATTTACCTGTCACTAGAACACTTTGTTCACAAATCACTGTAGACTTCTCTTGAAATAAGACAAAGAAAGAGGGAAAGACACAGAATGGTGTCTCTCCTATGTAGGATTTTAACAGGGTGATAGCAAATTTGCAAAGGCAACAGAATCTGAAATCTTGTCTTTAGTAAGAAACTGAACACAGGAAAGGGAGGTAGGTGAAGGATTCTGGGGCAATGGTGAAGGGAAGCAGTCACCTGATTGAGGGATGTTATACTAGAATAGCTCTTGCATGAAACCCTGGTAATAAAACCAGGTGTCCAGAATAAAAATAAATAAGTAAAATTAAACCTTAAATTAAACTTAATAAGAGAAATTCTATTTATTTCCAAGAAATAGCTAAAAAAGGGAACAGAATGTCCTGAAGGATTGCCATCAGGGTCACATCAAGATATTTGAGAAAAGTGAGTGATGTTGTTTTCACATACTGAAAAATACTGGTAATTAAAACTAAATAATACTTGGAAACTAGAGAAACTTTGGTTATTTGTAAGATTTACAATGTGAGACTCACCACAATTCTAAATAATAATAATAACAATGATGATGATAATAAACCCAACACAGTAACAAGAAGTCTCACGATGGAGACGCTACTGGGCTCGCTCGAACAAATCGATGAACAACGGGAGGACAGTAACAGTGACAGTGATGATAATAATACAGTAAAAACAATATAAATGAGGTTCACTAGCACAGTAGTTCTCTTTTTTCCTAGCAAGGCACTGCAATGTGTTTTCCTACAGTTAACGCTATCTGTGATGTAATGTTTTTCAATTTTTCTTTTATCAACACAGAAAGAAACAAAAACTCTTCTTCCTGTAACTCCAAGATTTTAGTAAGACCCTCATAAGAAACCATGCCCTCTATTGCATATCACCGTTTTAAATGCTAAATTTGAGATTATTTTTAAATAAGTGGAAATTTCTCAGGCCAAAGTGAAGGTATGTTATGTTTTAATTATGGAAAAAGCCATACGTGAAAACAATCATCAAAACAGAGGTACTTATTTTGAGGCTGAAGAGAGTAATAAAAAGGAAACTGGATTCATAAAAATACTCTTGTTATTAAATAGTTGTTTCTATTAAGACACGATATAGTTCAAAACAAAGTTGGCTAACAACATTGAAAAGACAAAATTTGAACATTATAAGTAGTGTTTATATAATTATCCAGGGGAGGGTATAATCCAGAGCTGGAATACTGTATGTAGTGCTTAAGAATGTGCAGAGTAGAAAGACAGCACTCTGGATTTTTACAATCTATACCTGTTCTGTTTTTTCAGAACCATGTTAACCAATGTTTACCCTACTTAATTTGGTTTCTGAAAATGTATCAGTGCTAAAAATAAGTGATTTGGGCTTACAGATTCACTACTAAAATCATCAATAAGATATATATTCTCCTGTGTGTTAAAAATGTTATTCTGTGTCCTATTATCAAAGGGATAAAATTTCTGAACAGCTAAAAAGCTTGTACCTGGACCAAATCACAAGAAACATATGAATTCTTTATCTTTGTGAACAGAATATAATCACTATTTTTCTGCTATCTTGCAATTTTCCTCTTAAAATCATAGCTCAAAAGGTGGGATTATCAGATTGAAGGCATTAAAAGGAATTTGCGCCTTACCTGTGTCCATATACAGAGAAACATATCAATTATATGCCTTTGCTTTTCATGGTCATTTGTTGACATAAGACCATTTCAGCAACAGTAAACAAGTTTGCTGAGTTCGCAGAGATATGGGAAGACATAGAATCTCTAGATGGGAATAGATGGGGAGATATAAAGAATAAGAGAGTCCACTCTTTAATGTACTGAAAAACCAAGTCCTAGAACTGCTTTTTTAACTAGAAAAGAGGTGAAGGGGATCAGGTAGACCAGAGCCAGGAATTGGAGTCATGGAAGAGTCCATGAATGGGATCAGGCAGACCAGAGTCAGGAATTGGAGGCATGGAAGAGTCCATGAAGTGATTAGAGCTTCGTCTTCTTAGTTTCCAAGTTGATCATGTTGCCTTGGATATGAGAATTCTGATTATCTGCTGCTTCCTGAATATCCTTTGACTTCACAGGAACGTAGTAGTATCCCATGATGGAGAAGATCAGGCAGACCACCAGCAGGAGGCAGGAAAACAAAATGAATTCTGCCCACTGTAGGAACAAATACACAAAAAATATAGAAAACCTGAAATTAAAAGGATCTTCATAAGATGAGTACTGGGAGGAGACAATCTCAAGGTTGTTGATTAGAAAAGTTTGGTTAGAAAATTGTATCTCCTGTATTATTGTTCACAGTGCCCAGCATTGCCATGTATATGTATTTTTAGTGGTAAAGTCTGTACACATCTAACACATGTCACATTATGGAGCTGAGTGGTAGGCTTAGAGCTAGGGGGAGCAGAAGAGGTAGTTGGAAGGGAAATCCTAGGTAGACACTATCCATACTTTCCTCAGATCCATACCTGCACCAGGCCACTGAACTGTGCCACAACAAGAACGATGATATTCCCAACTGCAACCGTCAATAACCAGGCTGCCTGGAGAACAGACTTCATGCTAGTAGGAGCCTAGAGAGCACATATGTTTGTGAGTAAAAAAAATGCCCTGCAACATCCATACGAACCAAGTATCCATTCAGAAAACTTTTTCCATAAATTAAGCTTACAGATTCTAACTTGCCCTGCTAAACTTAGCTATGGCATTGACTAAGGTTTAACAGAAATAATAAAATGGAAATCTTAATCATACGCTTTCATTTAGTGTATCATACAATCCCCATTATAATCCTAAGAGATAAGTTCTATTATTGTCCTTATTTTTTTGTATATATAGCATTAAAGAGATAATTACTTTTTGCTTAGTATTTTGCAAGATTGCAACACTTCAAGAGGAATGATTTGATCTTCCAGGTCTGAGGACCATGATGGGTACTCTTAGTAAGGAAAGAAGAAACGGGCTTGTCAGTGATCTGAGCAAATATTTCTGAACTTAAAAATCATAGCCATTTCCTCTTTGTTTTCTATTCATCTTTTTGGATTTTCAGAGTTGGTAATTTTTACACAACTTTTCAGAGTTGGTAATTTTTACACAACTCTTAATCTTGATCTGTTCTTAGATCCCAAACAGATGCACAAGCATGATCAAATGCTGCACAGCCAGGATCCTGGGTATTAAGATAACTCTTTATTCAGAGTCACATAGAAGGAACCCAAGGCCAAAAATATGGTAGTATTGGCTCTGATCACATATCTGCTTAAGACAGTGCCAGAATTAAAACTCTCTGTCCTCTTTGAGTAGTACCTTCACCTTCTTTTTTACTTGCATAAACATACCTGAGAATAAGAAAATTCAAGTCCTGTGACTGAGAACATGACTTCTGCAGCTGTAACCAAGGCATATTGTGGTAGTTGCCATATGATAGACATCTTTTTGGCTGGAATCACTTCCATCTTCCAGGTCTGAGGACCATGATGGGTACTCTTAGTAAGGAAAGAAGAAACGGGCTTGTCAGTGATCTGAGCAAATATTTCTGAACTTAAAAATCATAGCCATTTCCTCTTTGTTTTCTATTCATCTTTTTGGATTTTCAGAGTTGGTAATTTTTACACAACTTAAGTATTTTGAAATTACTTTTGATAACATTGTACTCACTAGCTAAGTTTCTGTCAAATACCATTGTTGACAGAATCCTAAAATGCCAGAAAAGATTAATACTATGGTTTATATTAGCACCATTTAAAACCACTGGGTATTTTGATCCCACATAAAATAGCATCTGAATTATATAATCAGTTTTCAATAACGGTCACTGCCCTCCCGTTGTTCATTGATTTTCTCAAGCGGGCCCAGTAACGTCTCCATCGGAGACTTTGTTGTTACTGTGTTTGGCATATCGAATACATCACGGGTAGCTTGCCAGACTCTGCCGTGCGGGCGAGATACTCTTGGTAGCTTGCTGGGCTCTCTGAGGGGGGCGGAGGAATCGAACTCAGGTCGGCCATGTTAGCTGCATGCAAGGTAAACACCCTACCGCTGTGCTATCGCTCCAGCCCTTTTTCAATAATATTATTCATAAAAATTTGAGTTCTTATAAACTTTCTATGTATACATATAAAAACTAAAAACATTTTCCATTTAAATTTTTACTTTACTAATATTACTTTGAACAAAAATAATTTTTGTAGATCTTTAAAGATTTTGTTGATTAATTTTTAAAATTCTGTAACAAACAATACCTGATATTCTTAATTCTAATTATTGCCACAGTTTTTAAAGATAATTTTAAAATAAATTATTGTTGATTTGCCATTGATTATAGCTTTTCCCCATGGTATGTCTATATTAAACATATCACCAAAGCTTTAGGCCAACTTTTATTATCAAATTGATTTGTCTACCCTTTCTACTATTCCCTTCTCCTTTCCATCTAATATCCACTGCATTTTTCATAGTCTCAAAGATTTTTTATCATGCCTTTTACTAGAGGACCCACACCCAGTGGTGCTCAAGGTGATGCGAGCCTATTACTCAGTCCTGGAGGGCAGTGACCAGGCCATGCAGTGCTGGCTACTGAACATGGGGTCTAGCACATGCCCTGCGTGTGCTTTACTATTTATGTTGTCTCTCTTGCCCTGTTTTCATATTTTGTTTTTTTTGAGGACCATACACAGGAGTACTCAAGGGAATACTCTCAGTTTGTTGCTCAGCATTGTTCCTGGTGGTTCCTGTGGGGTTGTACAGTGTCAGAAATCATACCCAGGCATACTGCATGAGCACTAATCTTTGAGCTATACCCCTACCTGGTTTCAATTTTTACTTATTTTGCTTTGCATAATCACTTCAAGTTTCCTTCATCATGATACAAATGCCTTCATGGCAAGGCAGTTCCTTCCTTCCTTCCTTCCTTCCTTCCTTCCTTCCTTCAAGGGGCGGGGGACTGAGGATGTGACTCAGCAGTAGAGCATTTGTCTTGCATATGTAAGGTCCTGCTTCAATCACCAGCACCACAAAACAACATTCATTTTCATTGTTTTTAATAGTTGCATGTCATTCTCATGAGTCCATATATTACATCTTTTTTTTTATCCAATCATCCACCAACAAGGTTGTTTCCATGACTTGACCATAAACGAGTTCGAAAATATACCTCAATAGAATCAGGAAGATAGAAGTAGTATCAACAATCTTTTCAGACCACAATGCGCTCAAGATAGAAGCGAATCACACAAAGATATCGAGAAACAAATCAAACACCTGGAAATTAAACAATTCGATGTTTAACAACGAGTGGGTCAGGAAGGAAGTCAAAGACGAAATTAAAAGATACCTGGAAACAAATGAGAATGAAGACACGAGCTACCAGAACCTATGAGATGCAGCTAAAGCCGTGCTAAGAGGAAAATCTATAGCGTTGCAAGCATTCCTAAGGAAAGAAGAAAGGCCTACATAGATACCCTAACCACACAGTTCAAGATTTTAGAAAAAGACCAACAATAGGAACCCAAAATTGGCCGAAGGAAAGAAATAATAAAACTTGGAGCAGAAATTAATAACATGGAAACCAAAGAAATAATCCGAAAGGTCAATGAAACAAAGAGCTGGTTCTTTGAGAAAATAAATAAGATTGATAAACCACTAGCAAGACTCACAAAGAAAGAGAGAGAACCTTAATAAACTGAATCAGAAATGAAAAAGGGGACATTACAACAGAAACCACTGAAATCCAAAGATCATCAGAGACTACTTTGAGAGTCTGTGTGCCACGAAACAAGAGAACCTAGAAGAAATGGATAAATTCCTGGATTCCTATAATCTCCCAAGACTGAACCAGGAAGACTTGGGTTACCTGAATAGACCCATTCATATCAAGGAAATTGAAGCAGTAATCAAAAGTCTTCCCCAAAACAAAAGCCCAGGCCCAGACGGGTCCACTAGTAAATTTTTCCAAACATCCAAAGAAGACATTTTGCCAGTTCTGCTCAAGCTTTTCCAGGAAATTGAAAAAACAGGAATCCTCCCAAACAGCTTCTATGAGGCACATATCTCCCTAATACCTAAATCAAACAAAGACACCACCAACAAAGAAAACTATAGGCCAATATCCCTGATGAACACAGATGCAAAGATACTTAACAAAATATTAGCAAATAGAATCCAACAACTCACCAAAAAGATCATACACCACGACCAAGAGGGATTCATCCCGGGGATGCAAGGATGGTTTAACATTCGGAAATCAATCAACATAATGCATCATATCAACAAAAGTAAAGATAAAAACCATATGATCATATCAGTAGATGCAGAGAAAGCTTTTGACAAGACATAGCACTCGTTTATGTTGAAAACTCTCACCAAAATGGGTTTTGAAGGAACTTTCCTCAAGATAGTGAAAGTTATCTACAACAAACCCAGGGCAAGCATTATCCTCAATGGGGAAAAAGTAAGGGCTTCTCCTCTAAGATCAGGGACAAGATAAGGATGCCCACTATCACCACTTCTATTTAACATAGTACTGGAAGCACTTGCAATAGCGATTAGGCAAGAAAAAAAGACATTAAAGGTATCCAGATAGGAAAGGAAGAAATCAAGCTCTCACTGTTCGCAGATGATATGATACACTATCTCGAGAATTCTAAGTCCTCTACCAAGAAACTCCTAGAAACAATAGCCTTGTACAGTAAAGTCACAGGCTATAAAATCAACGCCCAAAAATCCATGGCCTTCCTATATGCAAATAATGAGAGAGAGGAAAGTGACATGAAAAAAACAATCCCGTTCACAATTGTACCCCAGAAAATCAAATACCTCAGAATCAGAAAATCAAATACCTCGGATCTTTTAACTAAAGAGGTAAAGGATCTCTACAATGAAAACTACAAAAAGCTACTCCATGAAATAAAAGAGGACACGAGGAAATGGAAACACATCCCCTGCTCATGGATAGGAAGAATCAACATCGTCAAAATGGCAATACTTCCAAAATCATTATACAGATTCAATGCGATCCCTATAAGGATACCTATGAAATTCATCAAAGAAATAGATAAAGCACTCCTGAAATTCATATGGAACAACAAACGCCCACGAATAGCTAAAGCAATTCTTGGGAAAAAGACATGGGGAGGCATTACCCTCCCCAACCTCAAACTCTACTACAAAGCGGTAATAATTAAAACAGCATGGTACTGGAACAAAATCAGGGCCGCAGACAAATGGAACAGGTTGGAATATTCGTACATACAACCCCAAATGTATGAACATCTAATCTTTGATAAGGGAGCAATAAATGTGAAGTGGAACAAGGAAAGCCTCTTCAACAAATAGTGCTGGAATAACTGGACAACCACATGCAGAAAAATGGGCTTAGACCTAGACTTAACACCATGCACAAAAGTGAGAACAAAATGGATTAAAGATCTCAACAACAGGCCAAAGTCCATAAGATACATCAAAGACAAGGTCGGCAAAAACCTCCAGATACTGAGGTTAATGGTATCTTCAAAGATGTCATGCCACTGGCCGGGCAAGTGAAAACAGAGATAGATGAATGGGACTATCTTAAACTAAGAAACTTCTGCACCTCAAAACAAACAGTAACCAAAATACAAAGACAGTCTACAGAATGGGAAAGAATATTCAACACATCCAAAAAGGGGTTGATATCAAGGATATACAAAGTACTGGTTGAACTCCACAAGAAGAAAACGTCCAACCCCATAAAAAAATGGGGCTATGCAGGTATGAGCCGGCAGTGACGGGGCAACTGCAGTCTCATGGGAAGAGGGGCGGTACCTGCTCATCCTTCACACCCTACCGAGGTCACGAGTTGTCCCCCACAAGCGGCTCTCCGGCACGGCCATGACTCCAGAGGCAAAAGGACTTAATCCAGAGCCCTGCAGCTTGAGGCAGAAAAGTGAATGGACCATGTGTTAAACTATGGCACCATGACTCCCCGGGAGGGAAAGGGTGTTGCTCTCCCTTCCACCTTTTCTCCCCCCTGCTCCCTGGCAGCAAGGTGGCCACTGCCTCAGAGCTTATAGGAAATCTAGGTATAAGCTGCAGTGACAGGGCAACTGCAGTCTCATGGGAAGAGGGGTGGGTACTGGCTAGTCTTTCACGCCCTACCGAGGTCCTGAGTTGCCCCCCATGAGCGACTCTCTGGCACAGCCATAACACCAGACACACAGAAACCAATCTCTAAATTATCTGGCTCTTTGCAGAAATCCAAAATTGCGTGGCAACAATAGCAGCTGTGCAACATTATATGGTTCTCATAACCAGCTATAGAATATAGAAAACAGAGTATTTCACAATGCCTTTTCAGCAATTCTGATTGTTGGGGGGGGATTCTAAATAATAATGGTGCATCTTTTGTCGAAATTATGAATATAATCAATGTAGAGAATAGTTAAGTAGAAATCATCTGCCTCACAGGCATTGAGTGGGGTGGGAGGGGGGTATATTGGAGTTAATAAAT